TAGTTTGAACTCAGGGCCTATACCTTGAGCCACTCCACCAGCCCTTTTTTATGAAAGGTTTTTTGAAATAGGGGCTCGTGAACCATTTGCCTGGATTGGGTTCGAACCGTGATCCTTCTGATCTCTGCTTCCTGAGTAGCTAGGATTATAGGCATGAGGCACCAGCACCTGGCATTTGGTACTGGGGTTTGAACTCAGGGCTTCTCACTTACTAGGCAGGCACTCTTCCACTTGAGCCACGACTCCAGCCCTTTTTCCCTCTGGTCATTTTTAAGGTAGGGTCTCACTTTATGCCCAGGATAGCGTCAACTATGATCCTTCTATGTTATGCTTCCCATTGAAGTTGGGAAGACAGGTATGTGCTACCACGCCAGCTTTTTTCTTTTGAGATGGGGTCTCACAACCTTTCTTCCCTGGACTTGCCTGTAACCATGAACCTGCTAATCTCAGCCTCCTGAAGAGCTTGGGATGACTGGTGTGTGCCAGTGCACTCGGCTATTGGTTAAGATGGGGGGGAGGGTCTCTGAACTTTTTGCTTGGGTTGTCCTTAAAGGGCTGCCCTCAAAATGCAGTCCTCCTGATCTCAGCTGTCCAAGAAGCTGGGATTGCAGGTGTGAAACACTGGCACTGGGTTCATTATATTTTATATAGTCTTTCACCTTTTTCTAACTATTTAAATTTTGCTTTTCTTTTTGGAATAAGATAAAATGCCACTTTTTAAATCAGGTTTTGTTTGTTTGTTTGTTTCTTTCTTTCCAGTTTCTCTTGATCTTTTCCCTTTCCTGAACTCTTACACACTATGTATTGCATAGTTTAGTGTTTCAGCATTTGAACGTTTTCTGATTGTTTCATTTGTTTGTATCTTGAAGTCAGGGAGTGTGTATCCTGGTTTTTGTATTCATTATGGATAAAGTAAATTCTTTGATGGCTGTTTGGGACAGAAACTGCCCTTTCTCAATATACAAGTCGACCCCATTCAATCTGTACCAAATTTCTTGTTCTATCTGCATGAAATTTTAGATATTCTATTAATATTCCTAACATGCTTTATTTCTTAAAAATCCTTTCTCTCTTTGGAGCCATTCAAAGCCAACAGACATTTGGAAGTGATACAAATATCTCTTAATTGTAAGTAAGTTATTTGGTCAATTACTTATTGAACAACAGTCTTATATAACACTGTTCTAAGCACTGAGGTTACCAGAAAAAGGTCTAGAAGACTGAAAAAGAGAGAAAGCCTGTTCTCTTGGAGCTCTTGTCCCAGCAGAAGTGCTTCTGTGCAGTTTTTCTGGAGTTTAAGCTACCAGGAACTTTTAAAGGCAATACTGAGAGTAGAAGGAGAGATTGCAATCTGAATGTAAGTGGCCCTTGACTGACAAGGTAGAAGTGTTGATGTGTTTGTTTAGAATCAAATCTCTCTCTCTCTCTTTTTTTTTTTTTAAGCAATACTGGTGTTTGAACTCAGGGCCTCATGCTTTGGAAGGCAGGCTCTCTACCACTTGAGCCACTCTGCCCACCCTGTGTTGGGTATTTTGGAGATTGGTCTTAAGAACTATCCTTCCCGGCTGACTTTGAATCATGATCCTCCTTAGTAACTAGGATTACAGGCATGAGCCGCCCGTGCCCAGCTCAGAATCATAAATCTTGAAAGTGGAAGTGGCTTTAGAGGTCGTGTGCCATAACCTCCGTGCTGGTTTGTTGTCACTGTTGATAACCACCTGCTTCTGCTTTAATACTTCAGGAGAAGAAATCGGCTGCTTTCTGAGAGAGACAGTTAACTTTTATTCAGCCTACTCTCTACATTTCTTTTGTTCAGGCAGAATATCCCTGGCTCCTTCACCTGTAGCTTAGTGAACACTCAGAATCTAGGATTTGATTTAGGCACTGATTTTCTGGTGGTACTGTTCAAGGCTGCCTTTGTTTTTTACGTGATTGGGCTGGGGGTCTCCATGACCACTCCAGGTTTGATGGTTTAGAAGGACTCCCAGGACCCAGCATGTAGTGCTCACGGCTGTGATTTATTGCAGTGAAAGAACACAAAGTAAAATCAACAAATGGAAAAGCTGCATTATGTGAAGTCTGCAGGAAACCAGCAGCAAGTTTCCAAGGGTCCTTTTCCAGTATGTGCTTAAGTTCTCCAGCAACAAGCTGTGACAACACATGTGAAATGTCATCTGCCTGGGAAACTCATTAGAGGCTTACGCCCGGGGCTTTTATTGGGGCTGGTCACATAGGCACCCTCTGTGTGGCACGTACCAACTTCTAGTCTCCCAGAAGGAAAGCAGGGTTTAGTGTAAACCACAGTGTGGATATAGAGTGAGCCACTCTTAGCAGGCAGGGTGGGAACCCTTTAGGCTCCCCCTAGGGGAGATCTAAGTTCCCAGGGGCCAGCATGGCAAGCAGGCCTTAGTAAGGAGAGCCGCTGTCTCAGGCCTGCCAGGTTGACTCTTTCACATTATTAGTTCTTAGGAAATGGGCATTGACTCTTCTGCTTATTTACTTACTTTTGCCTGGGGATCAAACCCAGGGTCTTGCACATGCTAGGCAAGTGCTTTACCACTGAGCTGCACCTTCAGTCTTTGGGTATTTATTTTTGTACTTACTCAAATTGCTGTTAGAATAGGTCTCACCATTCTGTATTTTCAGACCTGGGGTTTTGTAGTTTGGGTGGATTGCTGTATATAAGTAAGTTCTGAACTGTCCTCAAGAGCTTTGCATTTCTTTGCAGACCTACCCTCAGGGACAGCAGTTCTTGCTTCCATTCCATTCTGTATACTTTAAGTCCAAGTTTTTCCTCCACTGAGCTACACTCCCAAAGCCCTGGGGATTTTACTCTTTGTTAAAGATTTTTTTTTTAATACTGATGATTGTGATCTTTCTCTTTAATATTCTAAATTCAAAATTTGTAACACAAACTTGTGGCACAATCCAGATGAGGAACATTTGTGTAAGCTTTCTACCCCAGACTTTCCTGTGTTCCTTAGTAGTCAGCTCTTCTGCTGCCCCAGCTCCAGGCAGCCTCCGATCTGTGCGAAATTGTTTTTAAAGAGTGCTCTAAAGTGCATCTCCTGGATGGAGGTAGATACAGTTTCTAATTTATTTGCTATTTAATTCAGCTGACCAAAGAGATTATAATCAGAATTTATTTCTTCTAAATATCTGTTCTAAATATCTGTGTTTATACTTTCTAGTCTTTTCACTTGGTGGAGATTTTTGCTTTTGTTTTGTTTTGTTTTGTTTTGAGACAGGGTCTCAGCTATGTAACCCACACTGGCCTCTAACTCTGTATCCTCCTGGTTCAGCCTGAAAAGAATTTCCTAAATGCCTTTGAAATGAAAGCTGGTCTTTGACAGTGTTGTCTTTTGGAAGTGTGTGGACTTTCCACATGACCTTGTTTCTTGGACATACCACTTACTTTTTGTGCGTGTGTTGTCTTACCTCCAAGTTACTGGTTTGCTGTTTTCTCAGGTTTCTTTGGGAATGGTGATGGGTGCACAGGGTTGTGCAGGAGTTGAGAGCTGTGAAGCACTGCTCAGTCCCAGCAGGGAGTGACTTGTTCTTATGTTTCTGCAGATCTGGAGCAGCAACCATTTGTTTCCCAGCAGAGAGGAAGCCACCCTTTTCCTTGGAACGCTGGATACTATTTTCCTCTTCTCCTACGCTGTGGTAAGTTCTAGAAGTCTAGAGGAGTGAACCCAGGGCCTTGGTGACTGTTGGGTACCTGCTCTCTGCTGTCTATCAAGGAGCTATTCCCAGCCCTGTTGATCAGTAATGAGCTACATTTCCTTCTGTAATTTCCAGGCATTTTGGTTTTCAGAGCATGCCAAATCAATTGATTCTCTCATCAAGAGAATCAAGATTTGCTTTGTCTCCTGTATTAGACATAGCACAAGAGCATGTGGGAGACAGCTACCGAACATTGAATCTACTTTCCTGCTTGCATGCCCTTCTTCTGAGGAAGCGAAAGCCTGAGATAATGAGGGAGAGGCATTTATTATGATACTTATCACCTCAGTTTTCTCTATAGTGAGATAGTCAATTTATTGGAAATACTTGGTCCTGTGTGAATTTAGGTTTGAGATCAAGGCATTTATTTGATTTACATATTTATGGATGAAACCGTAAGCTCTTCAGCCTCTCTTCCTGCCCTGATTTTAATTCCTGCCATGCAGCAGGAGGAAAATAGAAGGCAGAATGTTTCTGCCTCTTAACTAATTACTGTCTCTGCCTCCCTGGCTCTGCCTGCATTGTGCTGTCATGAAACTCAGGGTCAGCTCAAACAGGCAGCGAGTGTGCCCTGCAGGCTTCTGTCCCATGTGTCACAGAATTGCAGCTGAGCCCTCGGGACATGTGGAAATACTTCCTGACTCAGCCTGCAAATGGCAAAGGGGGTACCACCGGAACGCTTAGGACTGATGCCTAGGAAGATGCATCTCCTCCAGAAGATGGGTGCTTGTGTTATCAGAGTTACTCTTGCTTGTTTATTTTCAGTTAGGGAATCAAGTAAAACCAGTGTTGGCCTGAATTGCAGTGTCTTGGTGTGGAAGGTTTGCATGTGGTGCGCAGAAGCCCGTGCTGTTTCCTGAAAGGTGACACTCGTAGATAGCTAGTCCAGGCCTGTGAATAGGTTTGCTTTTCCATCAGCACAGGGTTCGGGTTGTCCATCTGATTCGCACTGCGTGCTGCCTCCTGTGGACCAAGTGACTATTTAGAGCTGTAAAATGAGTGCTGTATTTTCAGGGCCTCTTCGTCAGTGGCATCATTGGGGACCGACTGAATTTGCGATGGGTTCTCTCTTTTGGCATGTGCTCTTCTGCATTTGTGGTAAGTTGGAAGGATTAACAATCATTGCTACTGTGGTCAGCTACTTTAGAATGTAAGGAGCCCCTGCTTCTCTGTGTAGCGTGCAATAATGAGATTAATTTTCAGTGTAGAATAGTGAGGAGGTTAATTGTCAATGTTCCACTCCCTTGAATGCCTTTCACTTTGGGGAGTCTTCTTAAAAGGAAAATCCAATCAGGTCCCTTCCTTGACTTAAATAACTAGTCTAGGTGAACAGTGAAGTGTGCAGTGTTTTTCTGAACCCGGTCACGTGTGATTCACCCCTTTGCTATATAGCTAAACCAGTTACTTTCTAAGCCTCTGACCCATCCTGCTCCTTTCTACCTTGGCACTCTTGTTTCTGTTGTTCTCCTGCCCTCTCCACAGTCCAACTCAGCATCTCCTTCAGTCGTGGCCACATGACACCTCCTTCAGAAGGCCTGATTTTCCCAATCCCACTCCTGGAAGTAATTCATTGCCTCTTTTGAGCTCATGTGCTGGTTTTTCCCTGCAGCCATTTGCAGTTGTCTGCCACTTTGCCTGGTTATTTCTGTTTCAGTCTTGCTTTCCCTAAGTGCTGTGGCCCTGTGGCTAAGACCACAGACTCTCAACTGCAGTGGCTGCATTTCCATTCTTCTGCACTTTCCTGGCCTGTGATTTGCCTGTGCCTCAGCTTCCTCGTTTGAAGGGGGACACATATGCCTCCTTTTGGGGTTGCTGGGAGAGTTACGTGAGTGCCTGGATGTGAGGCTTTTGGAACAGGGCTTGGCACATCAGGTTCTGTGTGAGATGCAATCTGCATCTGATTTGTCTTGATTGCTTACTAGCGTTTCGTAAGAACTTTTGTTGATTGGGTCAAGCCTGGAGTTTAGTTAGGACCCTAAGTTATTACAGTTTTCCAGTGTCTGCCATTGAGTCCAGAAAAAACTTTTTTCCTTGAAGTCTTAGGGGTTGAGGCACTTTATTCCCAAGGTGCTCATCTACACCTGTTTGCATGCTGTTTTTAAACCTGTTTATGTCCTTTTTGGGTTATTTTTTAGTATTAAAAAGGTTCAGGTGTGCACATAAATTCACTGTTCTAGTATATAGTCTTAAGTTTCTGCAAAGGGTATCATTGTGTAACTACCCTTCCCTGTTCCCCCAGCTTCTGGCAAACACTGACCATCTTTCTGTTTTTATAGTTTTACTGCTTATCCCAGAAATGTCTTATTATTGGAATCTGATATTATTCGACATACTATTTTGTAATCCATGCCAAATATTCCCCAAATAGACTTTGACTGCAAATAAAATGTCCCCTTGAGCAAAATGCCTGGAAAAAAGCAGACCCTTGATGGGTACTGAATGATTCAGCAGATAAGTTCCACAGGCTTTGCTTAACATCGGCGATTTGGTAGCTAGGCTCACCCAGGTCTCTCACAGTACCGTTCCCGGCACTGTCCTGGGTGAATGTACACAGGTGGATTCATGCAGTCCTGTAGCCCTGTGCAGGTTGAGGGTACAAGATCAAGGGTGAAAGATGTCTGACATCTTCCCTCTCTGGTTGGTGATGACCTGGTGGCTGCCTCCTTGTACCAGCTGTGTGCCTGAGCTCTGAGTCAGCCACCCATCTCTCAGGTGCTAGCAGGGAGTGGAATGTACTGACAGTGTCTTTGTGGATGTCACAGGTCCATTTCTCTTTCCTTTCTTCAAAGGTGTTTGTCTTTGGCACTCTCACAGAATGGCTGCACTTCTACAACAAGTGGTTCTACTGTTGCCTGTGGATTGTGAATGGCTTGCTGCAGTCCACAGGCTGGCCCTGTGTAGTTGCTGTGATGGGCAACTGGTTCGGGAAAGCTGGGTATGCCACCTCCTTGCTCTTTGCTTGCTCTGTTTAGGGGGCTTTAATGTTGGGTTATTCAGTCTTGTCAAAGTCAATTGACTTGATATGTTAGATACTGTCCAAATCTACCCTGCAGAGTCGTACAGGGAGCCCAGTTTCATGGGAGAGTGTACTGAAGAGAGTGTGCCCCACAGAGATGATCTAGCCCAGCAGGGCTCATTCCAACACTGCTGGTTTTCCTCAGATTTTGAGTATGAGCTAAGGCTGTATGTCTCAGTTTTTGTTTTTTAAGCTCATCTTTTCTTTAGGGAAAATCATAGTCCCACATGCCATCCCAGTATGTCTTTCTATGAATCTTGCCTTCCATGCCCTCTTTTGAGACTCAGTGATCTAGTGTAGCCTTTCATTAAAGATAAGGAAACTGAGGCTTATCTAAGCTCACATAGCAAGGGCTCTAGTAAGATTCAGATGAAGCCAAGTGCAGTGGCTCATGCCTGTAATTCTAGCTACTTGGAAGGTAGAGATTGGGAGGATCAGGGTTCAAGGCCAGCCCTGGCAAAATGTTCCTGAGACCCAAACTCAGGAACTGGGGGTGGTGGGATGCACCTGTCATCCCAGCTATATGGGAAGCATAAATAGGAGGATTGTGGTCCAGGCTGATCTGGGCATAAGTGTGAGACCCTATTCAAAAAGTACCTAAAGCAATAAGAGCTGGGGTGTGACTCAAGTGGTAGAGCATCTGTTTGACAAGCATAAAGCCCTGAGTTCAAATCCTAGTACTGCCAAATAGAAAAAAAAAAAAGACTCAAATGAAGAATGCCAAACTTTGGGGCTTAGATTGGACCTTTTTCCCCTGAGACCTTCCCATAGTTGTTAGATTATATTTGACTTTGTGTGTGTGTGTGGCAGCTGGATGAAGATAGGTGCCTGCTGCCTGTCCTTCAGGCCATCAGGATAGGAGTCTTACTGAGTTCATGGGATGGAAAACTCAGTTGATGCAGCCAAAGACTTGCCCTATGGTTTAGTATTGTTGGAAATGCTTCAGTTTCAGGAACATGATTAATTTGGATCTTTATCATTTTTCCTCCACCAATATTTATGTGATGTCAGAAGTATATTTATCTCATGTGTGGTTCTGTGTCTTTTTGTGTTTGGTCTTTTACATGACGACCAGTGTATGCAAGAGACTTCATCCATTCACCTTAGTGCTCAGTGCATGCTCCTCTCAGCTTTCCAGCTTCCCCCGTTCTCTAATAGGAGTTGCCTTGATTGTAATGATCTATATAATGTTATGTAAGTTGACTTATAAAATGTCTCGTGGTTAGAATAAGCACCACTTAAGAATGCTGTGATTATATTTCGTTATGCCAGTGATTTCTGTTTCACTCTGGCGTCACCGGATTAATAGAATTGCATTATAAAAGGCATTCCTCTATTATATTTTGGTTATCTTTTGGAGTAGATGAGACCGTGGGCCTGGTGAGTGCTAGGCAGGTGCTTTACCACTGAGCTACATATATTCTCAGCTCTTTGAACAAAGAGAAATATAGGTTAAACCAATTGAAATTTCATCAAAGATAATCACTAGTTTTCGCAAGCATGATTTGAGGTATTTCTAAATTTTTATAAATTGGGTGGCACTGGGTTTTTGATAGCAGTGATTGAATGATCTAACTGCCTCATTATTTCTGTGAATTTGTTCCAAAGAAAGTCAAGAAAACCATTACAGTTTAACTTTGAAAGGAAGACAGTTGTGTTTTTCTGTTTGTTTTGTTTTTTAACAGTATTGGAGTTTGAACTCAGGGCCTCACATTGCTAGGCAGGCACTCTTAGCACTTGAGCCACTCAGCCAGCCCTCAGGAAGACAGCTTTAAGGACAATCTTGCTGTGTAGTCCAGGCTGGCCTGGAACTCTTGATTCTCCTGCCCTAGCCTCCACAGTGCTGGGGTTACAGGAGTGCATCACCGCAAGTTGTTTCTAAGTAAATAGCCCAAGTGAGTGAAATTCATAGCCATTGCTTTAGAGTCTTGACTGCTGTAAACTGCAGTAGTAACCCACCAAGTCCACTAAAACTGACCGCTGGAAATCAGATTTGTTACAAGCCATATTCGTCTCAAATCATTCCTTTGTTCAGTCAGATCCTGACCTGCTGACTCTTCTCTCTATGATGTTCTTGGTGGTTTTAATATTTTTATTCTGGGAGTATTTTAGGACTGGAGACAAATCATTTTTTTTTTTTTCAGATGAAAAATGTTGAGGCGAAAGAAAGGAAATGATTCAGTAAGAGAAGACACTTTGACTCATATTGCTGCTATTGATCATCAGGGAATTGGCTTTTTCAAGCAAATTTAGACTAGGTGACACTGAGGCTTTCATTTGTAAGCTCAGGCCCTTTCACCAGGATTATGTATTATTGCACCGAGGTCTTTGAGGAGCACAGCTTCCCACAGATGAGAACCGGGGGTTGGCTTACAACTGGGGTGGGATTGCACAGCTGCAAGTGGCAGACCTCAGACTTTATTCCTTACTGTACCGTGTCAGCTCCCTGTTCATATCTAAAATTCCCTCTGCTTTAGTGAGGCCAGAAGAATGTTTAAAGAGCTGAAAAATGTAGACCTAACACTTTATGTCAGTGTATGTATCAAGTAGAGCAGAAACAAATTTGAACTTTAAAAAAATTTGGTTTTCTTTAATCCTTATACTTTTACCAGCCCTACAATGAACCCAGGGCCTTGGCTTGTGGGCTTGCTAGGCAAACAAACTATCATCAAAGTCAATCTCCTACCCCTCAATTGAATTTTCATATCATAAAATCTTAGAAGAGCCTGATGTCTTACTATTTTGGTTTATTTTAAAAACTTTAAAATAGAACATTAATTTTCTATAATTTGAATCTTCACTGTTCTGAGGTTTTAAATTTTAAACTGCACATGGAATCCCTTCTGATCCATCTTCACTGTTTTCCTTCCTAGTCGAGGAGTTGTCTTTGGTCTCTGGAGTGCCTGTGCTTCAGTGGGCAATATCTTAGGAGCATGCCTAGCTTCGTCTGTTCTGCAATATGGTTATGAGGTGGGTGTTTTTTTCCAGCTTTGTGTGTGTGTGTATATATGTATATACATACCTATGTAGTTTTGTTTTTTTTTTTTTAAACCAAGTAATTCTGTGCCTATTTAAAACCATATAGAGCTATGTTGGGGTAGGGCCACGGTTATATTAAAAGTAGAAAAATTTCTGTAAATTCAAAAACAAAAAATTGTTCATGGCAAAAACACCATAACAAGAGCCCAAAGAACTAGAACCAATTAAGAAAAAGTATTTACAACTCAAATTACTATTAATGGCTAATCTCAGTATGACATAAAGAACTCCCACAAGTTCATAAGGAAAAGACCAATGTCACAAAAAGAAAGGTAAAGGATTTGAATGTATAGTTCATGGACAGGAAAGAAAAATAACTTGAAAACATAAAAAAGATGTTCTGTGACACTGACAGCTATTTCATTCACACAGGAAGGGAGGAAGGGGGGTGGGAGGGAGGGACTATATGCTTTATAATGAGGCAGAGAAGAAATGGGTATTGTGTTTGGGAATGTACATGATATGATCCCCCAGTTGCGTTTGGCATTGTCTGTCAACAATGTGAGGATCTGACCAAACAGTTCCACCCAGGAACTAATCACTTGGGTGAATGTCCTTAACAGTACAAAATAATGTATCTACAAGGTTATTGCAACATTGTTTGTAACAGGAAAGATTGAAAACAAATGTCAGCTAATGGGGAAGTGTTCAAACTGCTACACCTGTTGGAAGGCTGCAGCCAGCTGTGAGGTACACTTTAGGACTCGCTCTGGAAGCTGAGATGGCAAGGGTGCCAAGCAGTGGGCGTTCAGTGGTTCCGTTTGAGCACAAAGCAAGAATAAGTGAGCTCGTCTGTTTCCTAAACAGTCTCTGTACACTAAAAATTAAGTGACAATGGTAGTTGTAGGTTATGACGGTTGGGAGGGGGGTGAAAGGAAAGTTTTTACTATATCCCTTATTACTTTTGGTTCTTGAGTTGTGTGAATGTACTGCCTACTCAAAAACCTAAATAATTAAAAGTAAGTAAGATGCTCTTTTTAAAAGTGGATAAAATTTTAAATATCTCCCCAAGAATTTATCTCAGCCACCTTTAACCTGGGTGTCTTAGCTTCACATTTGCATTGTACTGACTGGTTCACATTCAAAGTTCAGTTCATTTTCTGTGCTGCTCCCAGATTGTCTTCTGGAAACACGGCTTTAGTTTTGTCATTTACTCACCTGCATCAGGCTCCATTCTCTGTTTAAAATTTTTCTTAACTTGTTTTTTTAAAACATTTTTATTAGCATATATTAGTTGCACAGTGGGTTTCATTGTGACATTTCCGTACATGCTTACATTGTACCTTGGTTAGCTTCATACCTCTATCATTCTCCCTGCTCCCCTGCCTTGTGTTAAATAAGACTAAGCTGTGCCGCCTGGCGGCCTGCAATCTTTAATCCTGATACCACCTTTCCCCATCAGTTTTATCCCCTGGTGTCCCCCAGCAGAGACTCTCCCTCTCAGTCCTGGAGCACGCTTTTGCTCATTCCCCCTCTGACTTTTGCCATCCTTGTGCCTGGAAAGATGGACAATTGCTTTGCTTTTCGGCTCTTCCCTCCAGTATTGTTTAGCTGCTTCTGCCTCTCTCTAGCAGTTTCCTCCTTTTGATTTCCTGAGTGTTCTTACTAGGGCTGGGCCTTCTCATGTGTCCAGGCTGCCTTACACTATTGCTTTGGTATCTGCTCATTCCCCCAACTGAATATAATGTCTTTGAGAACAGATACCATGCCTTTTATAGGAAGCAGATGATGCAAAGAATGAGATTTGGTGAGCTAGTCCTGGTTTCACAATCCTAATAGTGCCATTTAGTGTCCAGAGGACCCCAATGATTCTTAGGTTGCTTCATAGAATCCTTGGGAAGCTGAAGTGAGAAGTCACAAGCAGACAGTTGACATAGTACCTGGCATGGAAGCCCTGGATGCTCAAGGCCTTTGCAGTCCCCCTGTCCATCCCCTCCACTCCCTGCCACTCATCTTTAGTGAATGCCTGTGATGACCACCCTGTGTGTAAGAGCCACCTCTCCTCTCCTCCAGTATGCCTTTCTGGTGACCGCGTCTGTGCAGTTTGCTGGTGGGATCGTCATCTTCTTTGGACTACTAGTGTCACCAGAGGAAATTGGTGAGGAGAAGCCATCTCTTCCATTCAAAATGTCCTACTGTTAGGGGCCAAGGGAAATCTGAGGCCAGGAAATGCAGTCTCTCTTCTTAGGAAAACTGTGTGCTCCTTGCAGCAATTCATGGGGCAGCTGCCGCTGTGCCCTGTCGACTTGCAGCCACACCTGGCATCGCTGCAGTGTTGAGGGGAGTGCGACTAGCATTTGCACACAATTTTCATAATTGAGACACTGGCTAGGAATTAGCATGGATGTATTTCTAATTTCACATCTTGAGACCGCTTTCTTTTCCTTTATAAAAATGGTTCAGTTTGATATTTACCTAGGGCTAAATATAGAATGTGTACAAGTGAAGCTTCAGAAGCAAAGAGGTGTACAATTATCCCACCCTTTAAGTGTGATTAAACAGACCATGTGACCTTAACTGGCCTTAGTTGACCTTGGTCTCTGAACTTCAGTTGCTTCTTCTGTAAAATGGAAATAAAAATAATATCGAACCTACAAATGATGATATATGCAAAGCCCTTAGCACAGTGCAAGGCGCACGGTAGGTGCTTCACAGATGGTAGAATGGAAGCTCTTCTTGTTTTAGGTCTCCCAGGTATAGAGGCAGAAGAAAACTTTGAAGAAGATTCACACAGGCCTCTAATTAATGGTGCTGAAAATGAAGATGACTGTGAGCCCAATTACTCGGTGCAAGAGGACAGCACTGTGAGCCAAGTAAAGGCAGTCAGCTTTCACCAGGCCTGCTGCCTTCCTGGAGTCATACCGGTGAGGACTGTTCAGTCTCTTCCACAGCTGGGAGGAATCCTGGCCCTTGAGTTATTCTGTTTGGGATATAGCTGCTTTAATTTTCGGGATATGTTCAGAGGAATGCTGCATAGTGTCCCTCAGCTTACCTGATACCTTCTGCACAGCTGGCAAACCCTTTTCTTGAAAAGCCAGAGAATAAACATTTCAGCTTTGGGGAGACGTAAAAATCTTTGCCATAACTGCTCAACTCTAGTGCAAAAAAACCATGGGGCAGGTGGGTGTGGCCAGATGTGAACCATGAACCTCAGTGTGCTGACCCTGATCTAGCATGTGATTAAGGAGGCAAGACTGAGATTTTTAAAGTCTATATTTTGGTCCTATGGAATTACATGTAGATCAAGAAGGGTTTTGTTTTATTTTGTTTATTTTATTT